TCAGAGCTTCAGCCCAGACCAAGGCTGAAAACGATCGTCTTTGATCAGCCCAATTCTTAGATTGCAAGACAGCCAAGAAAATCTTGTTCTCTAAAGAGATGAAAACAAGATGAAGAGGTGGAGAATCATCTGTAACCACGAATATGGTGATTCCAAGTGATGGAAACTCCCAGCTGGAAATGGGTCACATCGGAAAACACTTCCTTTGAGCACAGAAAGACCGAACAGATTTGGAGCTCCTTTTAGTTCTGTGCGTTTGGTTGTGCACAACCATTTTTATGAGAACCTTATGTTGCTGAAAACACAGCCCCCATGCCCCGCTTACCAAATTGAGACTTGAGGACAGAGTTTTGGATGCAGTAGAAAAGGTAGCTTTATTTCTTTGCCAGACAGAGGAGGTCATAGTGGGCTAATGCCTCTACGACTGACTGTCAGCCTACCAGGGAGAGAAGGCAGGGGGGTTTCTAGTAAAAGTTCAAGAGTTCAAGGGGTGGAGCTAGTTTCCATAGAGATGGCACACAGGGTAACATACTGTTGCAAAGTTGTTCTTGGCTTTGCAGGTGCAAGGGTCCCTTTCCCTCTGCTGGGTATGAAGTTCACCTCCAGCTTTGGGACTCTCTTAATATTCTTGTTCCTAGAACAAAGGATGCATAGCTCCATGGGAAGAAAAACTTGTGCAGCTTAAAGTCAGGTTGATAAATGCTTTTAGTCTTTTTAACAGGCTGAGGTATGCAACTCAAACAACAGGATACAAGGAAAGCATCTGGGGGCAAAAGGAGGGCACTGGGGGCAAGAGCAGGGCACTGAGCATGATCCCCACATGCAGCACCGTGAGGGGGTTGGTGGTCTGTCCCTCCTCTCCAGCCCAACCTTGGTCAGCAAAAGCATGAGAAAAATCCTTTAAACCATTGTACAGTTAAGCAATTACAAACAGCGCTACAAATATCAGATGGTCACCAATGTAGACAACAGGGTCCTGCTCTGTGACACTTATGGGCACAGAGGAGAGTAGGGCCATAATTTTAACCCTAACTCTTCTAGTTCCTGTGTCTTGTAAAACAGTTTCATTTTAACCAAGAGAGGACACACTGCAAACTGAGGATGAAGAGAAAAATCACTGGCCATCAAAGGACTTTCTCGTATCACAGGGGCAGGGCATCCTGCTTTTATAGTTCAAGTCTGGGTGGTGGTATCAACCTGGGGAGACTGGGCTGTGTATTATCATGTGAACAAGCGGAGCCTCTGGGAAGTTGGGCTTGACTCAGAGCGCTGATTCTGGCTACTGCACACCCCAAACATTTTTCGTCTGCAGCTTTCATCCCTATGCCAAATAGCCTGTCCTTTCTTACACGGTCCTGAATTACACCTCTCCGAATTCACTTCAGGTGGAGTGGCTTGTTGCTCCTTGCAAGCTTTTAAACTCAAACCACAGAGCAACTCTTGCCTGAGCCCATCCTTGAATTCTTTTTATGGGGCAGGAATTACCTTCCAGCAGATCGCTGAAGCTTCATGTAAAAACACATGCCCCTTGCAGGAGAGCTCAGAAGATCTTGGGATGAATGTGACTCACGCGTCCATCATGACTGGAGTAGCTCTGTGCCAGGGACACGGACACAAGCAATCCCTAGAATTTTGAATGGGGCAGTGCCAATTTGAACGTGTCCAAGCTACTTTTTTAGAAATGCAGCTCATTTTCTTAGACAGAGGTAAGGCTCCCCGACGTTTCCCCATTAGCAAAGCAGCAGGAGGTTAAGAACTGGGTGCTCCTCCAGAAAGCACGGCCATGCTGACAGTCTCCTTTTAGAAGGACTTCCTTCTCAGAGCTGTCTTTGCTGCCCAGCAGGTGTCGAGCTGAATCACTGAGGACACAAATGGTAAGGGAGGGGCAAAAATAAAGGCTTTATATTTCCTCTTCAGGGACCAGGCTCCAACCTCTCCTGCCAAACTGTCCACTTCGCCACCGAAAAGCAACAAAGGTAAAGAGAAGTATCTCTGTACTTTGTGTTTCAGCCGTGCGTTTGGTCAAAGGGGAAGAGATGGGAGCAGTGAAATGCGGCACCTGGACTGGGGTGCAAAACGAGGGGCCAAACGAGGGGCAGCTTAACCTTTTAGTTGGGGGTGGCTTTTTGTTAATGCAGATCAGACGTTAACATGTCTGAATGTCGCTGATATTGTGCATTTAAAATCCTTGAGGCGGGCTGACTTGATTTGAAATCTCTGATTAGTTTAGCAAAGGGGACTCTGTTGATTGCTTCTACTTCCTCCTTGATAATGCTTATTCAAACCAGAGCCAGTCACCGATGGCTCTGGCCTCTGTGTGATAAAGCACCTCTTAGCTCCTCAGAGGATCTTAACTCCACTGGATTGGCCTTATTAATACCTTTATGTGTTGGGAAGAATTCCTTTATTTTCCTGGGTCTCAGTTTCTTCTTGTGACTTTAAAATTAGTCTCATAAAAAGTAGGTGTATTCTGTAAATGGGTGTAAAATCTCATAGTTTATGTTTGTGTGATGGGGTGACGATTCTGAAGTTCCTGCTACTTCTAGGATCAATGAGCACATTGTGAAATTTAAAAAGTTTGAAGGACAGAGCGTGAGAGTAAAACATTCGCCCTGATTTAGGGGAGAGGAGGCAACCGCTAGTAAAGTTAAGTCATTTGAGATGGTTAAGAATCTCCCCAGGCTCCATGCCTGTTGTGAGAACTCAGTGTCTTAGCTACCCTGGAGGTGTGTTTCCCCAGATAGGACAGACCCCGCTTCTCTGTCTCCCTGCAACGCTTTTGTGTCAATATGCTCTTCTAAGATATGTTATCCATGCCTTTACAAAGAAGTTCCCACACAGGTGGGTAAGGGGATGTGCAGGGGGCTAGTCCCCATGTGGTGTTTGTGGTGGTGTGGACTTGGAGGCCACTGCGTGTCTGTCACCGAGGAGTGGCTGCACAAATGTGGCGAAAGCACAGAAACCCAGCACTCAGAACTAACAGGTTACATTTCCAGAGTAACATGGATGAATCTTAAAAGCGTAGGGCTGAGTGAAAAATAAACTATTCCACGTAAGCTCATTTATGAAAATGAAAAAAATGCATGATATGAGGAAAGCAATAGAATATAAGAGCACAAATAGAGGGACATGCCTTAAACACGTTGTGTTGTCTTTGGGAACGGAGGAGACGGGACGTGTTGGGTTGAAGGCAATGAGCAAAGCAGTGCTTTGGTCCAGTGATGGCTCGTGCTACAAACTGATGGACGTGATTCCCTCAATCTTTTATGCTTATGGTTCAAAAAGAAGACACATGCATATAAACACGTTAATAAAATAGAAGTGCCTGGCGTGCAGTAAGTAGCCTGTCAGCGTGTTCCGAACCCTTTTCCTGGGAGGCCCGGTAACTGTGGGGCCACAGGGACTGTGACACGCAGGCAGGCCGTTTCACAACAACAATAAGGCATAGATTTAAGAAGAATACGCTCATATTTCCTTATAAATCCGAAATTGCATTCCAGAACCGGACACTAGCTAGAGTGCCGAGCGCAACAGGAAGAGGGTCTGGCTTGGACATGCTTCACCGTAGGATGTGGTTTCATTATTAAAGCAACTAACAGTGGGGACAGTGTAGCTTAGCAGCAGAGTAACTGCTTAACGTGCACGAGGTCCTGGGTTCCATCCCCAGTACCTCCATTAACCTAATCATAAACCTAATCATCTCCCCCTAAAAAATTTTTTTAAAAAAGCAACTAAACAAAGGCCTTCAAGGATACTGTTATTATTCAGCGTGTTACAGAGAGCTCTGTTAAAATTAACTTGAACAACAGTATCTTGTTAAAGGCACATACTAGTATTTTCATTAAGATCAGCTAAACTTTTGTGTTATACCTTTAAGAAACTTTCAAGAGCAAAGGAAAATGTGGCCCAGGCTTGGGGTAATACAACTGCTAAGCTCCATGAAACTATGTTGGAGGGTCTGATGATTAGAACCCATGACATCTACTCCTTAATCATTATTTTAGGACAGCCAGTTTTGATTACAGGGATGTGTGATCATCTTTTTTGCCATTATAAATGTCATGGGTCATTATTTTGAAAGTCCATGAGTGACACACTTCCTTTCAGCCTCTCTCTGCCTGATGAGTGCTGAGCTCTGCACGCTCCTCCCTGCCCCAGTTCTCAGGCCCCAGTTCCCCTGGCTCTCTTTGGCTCTCTCAGCGCACGAAGTACTGTGTTTTAAGGAGAAGGATGACACAAATGCGTAAATCTCTGGGTCACGTCCCAGAGAACACACTTCCAGTGAGCTTAGCTCCGATGTAAGGTAAGTCAGTAACTCAAATAAACACATTCTCTAGGCTGCTGAAACAGCCTAGAGAATGTAGGCCTAGACTAGGATCCTAAAAGAAAGCAAAGCCATAATCTAGAAGATGAGAGATAGAAGAACAAAACGGTCCCAGATCCCTGGGGGACTAAACAAGGGAAAAGATGCAGCTGTGCTGGAAAAGCATGCGTGTGGCAGGCTAATTGGTCCTGGTGGACCAGAGCAGTTAAAGAAATCCCTAAAGAGAGCTGGGGTGCTTCTAGCTGCAAGAAACAGAGGCCTCAACTAAGATGGCTTGAACAATAAGGAAAAGCTACCGTTTTACGGGACAAGAAATCCTGAGCTAGGGCAGATCCAGGGTGGGTTAATCCACCCACTCAACGGTGGGTCATTAAAGCCTCAGGGCCTTTCCATCAGCCTCTCTGAAATCCTGACTTGGTCACAGAGTAGCCACTGCTGGAGCGGCGCCATGAAGACAAGACAACCTGACACGAAGAAGACTCCATCCTGTGAGTCTCTTTCCAACAGAGGGAAGCCTTTTCCAGCAGCCACGTCTTATTGGCAAGGACTGCCATACTGTCCGATGTTTAAAATTTGATTTATATTCCTCCAACTTTTTTGAGGGATAATCGACAAACATAATGGTGCATATTTTAAGTATACAATGTGATAATTCGATATACATACACACTGTGGAATGAAGACCAAGATCAAGACAATTAACGTATCCATCGCCTCACACAGTTAACGCTTTGTGTGTGCAATGAGAATGCTTAACATCTGCTGTCAGCTACTTGCAAGTCTACAATACTATATTATTCACCATCGTCACCATGCGGTGAAGGTATCTGAAAAGAGAAAAGATGTGTGGGGCGTGCAAGGCTTCCGGGGACAGTTCTGCCCGTCTCCAGCCCTACCACCCGCCACCTCTGGCCTTCTGTGTCATGCTCTTATGGTAGAAAGTTTCTCTTTCAGGTTTTTGAGTCTCTGCTCACGCTATTCTTTCTCTCAGTAATGATCTTCCTCTATGTACATACCTGGATGACTCTTACTTCATTCTTCAAGAAGCAGCGGGCACCTCCTCCAGGAAGTCTTCCTGTAACTCCCAGGTTGGCTCTGTGCTTCCACAGCATTCTGTGTCCATCCGTGTATTGTAGCACTGAGCGAATTGAAATTTCTTCCTTCGTTTCTTCCTTCCACAGATACTTAATGAGTGGCAACTCTATGGCCAGGGCTGGTGCTGGAATAAAGCTTAAAAAAACAAAGTCCTTGCTCTAACGGACATTGTACTCTAGACAGATGGGAATTAGACAATAAATACATATATAACATATACACATATTTAATTCATATAAATAAATATAATATTGTTTATTCCTATTTTATCAATACCTAGATACACATGTATATATTGTATATATAAATACACACATATGTAATATATATGGCAAGTAAATAAAAATTATTATATATAGGGCAAATAAATACAAACTGATTTATATTTACATAGCATGTATGTATATAATACACACAAACTAGGGTAATGAGATGGGGAATCACTGGAGGATGTTTGCAGTAGAACAGTCAGTGAAAGTCTTATTGATGGGATGCTGTCTGCGCAGAAGGAAATGGATGGACTGCTGGAGGGAGCCATCTGGATATCTGGGGAAGAGCACCCCAGGAGATGCTCTGAGATGGAATCTGCTTGGCCTGGTGAAGGCATGCCAGGAGGTGACATGGCTGGAACAGAGCGAGCTGGGAGACTGGTAGGTGATGAGGTCTGAGAGGCAGCAGAGGCCAGACCCCGAAGGCCTCGCTGGTCATGGAAGGAGGCCTGTGTTCTGCTCTGAAAGGGAAGCCACTGGAGTTTGGCGCAGAGGCCGTGAGCTGCCCTTATGCAGTTAATACACGAGGAAGCTATCTCTTAAAAACAACACTCTATCTTCTCTAGGAAATGTAACATAGGAGGTAAGGTCTGAAGTAGGAAGACGAGAGAGGAGACTGTCTTTCTGATCCAGGAGAGACGTGATGATAGCTTTGCCCTGGATGCTAAGCGGAGAGAGTGAGTGATGGACCAGTGGTGAGTGTTTCTGAAGACAGAGGAAATGGGATTTTTGGAAAGTTTGAATGAGATGTGAGTGAAACACCGTTTAAGGATGATCTCCAGGTTTTTGGCCTGAGCAAA